GATAGATAGATAGATAGATAGATAGATAGATAGATAGATAGATAGATAGACAGACAGACAGACACTATCATATTAGTGATATCATCCTCAAAGATATGTGCTATCATCTTCAAGAGCTGTGATGCTGCAGTGGTTTTAGAATGTAGCATTGCAGGCTGACTGTGCCCACAGCAGGAGTTCGATCCTGACCGGCTCAAAGTTGACCCATCCTTCCCAGGTTGGTAGAATGAGGATCCAGATTGTTGCGGGCAATATGTTGACATTGTAAACCACCCAGAGAGTTCTGTAGAGCACTATGGAGTGATATATAAGTGCTATTACTATTATTTGTTTCATATATTTTAACCATCTTAATTTATGGGATGATCACTATAGGTAGTACTCACTTAATGATGGTAATTGAGACTGGAATTTATATCACTAAGCAATGTGGTCATAAAGTTCAACATCACATGTTCGTGCTGCTTAGTGACTGCAGGTCTGGGAGCCCCTTCTCTTGCAATTGTTATGTGAATGCCATGGGTTGTTAAGCAAGAACTTTCTGTGACCAGGATTTTCAACTTCATGCCAGCTTCCCCATTGACTTAATTTGTGAGAAGCCCATCAGGAAAAATGTCAAATCTTAAGCCTGGCTGAAAATTCAAGGACTGTTTGTAAGTACCACTCATTCAGCGTCATTGCAAGTTCAAACAGTAGCTGAATGTGGGGTCATTAAACAAGGAACACCTGTAATGTTTTATCAGTCAACTTCACTAGATGTCCTTGTGTTTAATATTGTGGAAGACAGAAAATAACATTGCCCACTTTCTTTGATCAGTGTACAATGTTGTAATATTCTCTTATTGATTCTTTTATTTACCTAGTTTCCTTGTTTTAGCAAAAAGTTTGTTTCTTTACATTTGCTGACACTGAATTAAATTCAGAGTAGAGAGATTCCCCCCATTTTTTACTCTTTTTGTTTTGATCATTTTAAATCACTGCACAATTCAGTTACGGAGCAAATTGAAAAAACTGACCTAATCACAGGACTGTTTATATTTCATATGCATAAGAGTAGGTACATAGATAAAATAGTTGATTATCAGTTAGTTCCATTATGGTATGCTTTGAGACAGAAGTTTTATTTTATTTTAGTCAGTTTAAAGTTTTTAAATGTTTCTAACGATGTCAAATTATTTTTTCACAAAATATTTGAATTATTTAAATATTTGTGTATTGAAATTCCTGTTGAAACATTTCGGGGTGCTGAAATCTTGAAACTAATATAGTGGAACTAATATATAAGCCTTAGTGAAGGGAGTAGGACTATCCAGCACAGGAGGCAGCCCTTCCCTTCCCCATCACCTCAGGTCTGCTATTTAACTGCGGATCAGCTGAGCCAGCGAGGGCCGGGAGTTCTGTATCTCCAGGTACCTGGAGATGTTTCTGGCACACTCTTGCCAGCCCTAGCCCTGCCCACGGCACCAGGCAACCTTGCAGCCAATGACCCCTCTCTTCCGCAGCTCACCTTGTGGCTATGGAGCAGGCGGTGACCATGGTTTGCGCTCCGCCAGGCCTGGAGCTCGAGTGTTGCTCAGGCTGCTGCTCTGATGAGGCAGAAAGCCATGCGACCCATTGGAATTGGCATAAAAAAAGCTCAATCAGTCAATTCCAACTTCTCGTATAATAAGTTTTTTTAACTGTCCCACAAACTTGTTTCCCTGCACGCAACAGCAAAAAACACGACAGAGCTGGAAATCAGGTACCGGTAGGCAAAAAAAGGCTTGGAGGAAGCAAGAGCACTTGGGTGATGGTGGGTGGGGCAAAGTTTTCTGCCCACAAAATCCTCATCCGGCGAGGGAGGGAGAGAGGGGGGGATGAATGAGTGACTGGGCGTGTGCCTTTTACTGGGGTGCGTAGAGTGCATTGGGGTTCCTCTTGCCGTCTCTTCTCTCCCCCTCACCAGGCATGGCAAGGCTTTCTGCCCCTCACTTAGCCATCCTCCTCTTTTATCAATGCAATTTGGGGGTGGCAGGTGGGAAGGGGTGGGGCTGGGGGAGAAAGGGTATTCCCAACTTCCGGGCCATCTGGCTTCTTCCCAGTAGCTTTTTCTCTGCCTTTCAGCATTGGCTGTCAAAGATGAGGATTTTGTGGGCAGAAAAGCTTGCCCCACCCACCACCACCCAGGTGCTCTTGCTTCCTCCAAGCCTTTCTTTTGCGAGAAGTTGGAATTGATTGAACTTTTTACACATTTTTTTTAATGCTAATTCCGATGGGCCACATGGCTTTCTGCCTCATTGTAGCAGCAGCCTGAGCAACACACGGGCTCCATTTGGCAGAGCACAAACCGTGGTCGCCACCTGCTACATAGCCACAAGGTGAGCTGTGGAAGAGAGGGGTCCTTGGCTCAAGGTTGCCTGGTGCCGTGGGCAGGGCTAGGGCTGGCAAGAGTGTGCTGGAAACATCTCTAGGCACCCGGAGAGACAGAACACCCGGCCCTTGCTGGCTCAGCTGATCCATAGTTAAGGGACTGAGCAGCCATGAGGTGACTGCTCTCACTCAATTCCCTCTCCCCCCCCGAAAAAAAGCCCTAGCCAGTTTTTTTGGGGCGGGGGGGGGGAATCA